ATTATTTTTATCTAATTCATATGGAATTTTCTCACGAAAATGCCGAACAACCCACTAATCACACCTTATCTTCGTCAAGTAGAAATTCCTGGAATTACTCTCTCTGTACTGAAAACCACTGTTGGGCTACTGTATCAGCTTCACCAAGTCGCTGCTTTAGTCTTCCAATGCATCAGTTTGTCTGCCTTTTTGCTATTTTTTTCTACTCATTTTTTTGCCTGGGAGTTTATTAACGCATTTTCATCAATCGAGATACAAGTTTGGTTTGTTCCGACTAGTATTCTGAACAATAGCGCGTATAAGCGCTTTTTGGCTCTCTTTGAGCTGCGCAAATTTTGCAGGGCTGTGGGGCTCAACAATTTGGAAGCAGAAGGCAACAAACTGGAGGACGTGGACCTGAACGATCAACATGGCCTTATTGCCATGGCTGATTCCACCAACAAAATTGCTGTATGTTTTGGCCTTTCTACGGAATGACACTTACAGTAGGAAAGTAGCTAATGCTTTTCTCAAATTTAGATAGTAAAAGGTGGTAGGCGTTCTCTGCCCTTTCAATTTGCTGCCCTCTTCCAATTTACTGCCAACTTGTCAAGAGTTGTAGGATTATAACTGTGTTATTTTGAAAAACGCCAGCTCGTGGCTAATAATTCTAGTATCAAAACCGGTTTTTGCAGAAATGCTATGTATTTGAGCATTATCAGGTAAAGCCTAAAATTCTTAAACATTATTTTATAGACCAGTCTTACAGAATTATACTTGCTCTATCAACAACGAATGAGATGTTTATACGAAATTTTACAAATCAATGTTTTGAAATTCTTTAACTTTTTTAGTTTCAGAATTCGAGTCCGGTTTATCCAACAGAAAAAATTGTCACCGTGGCGGAAGAGACTTCGAAAAATGTAACATGTAGGAGGACGACAGCATATTTTTTATTTTTTATTGCGTTAGCTGCAGTTGTGCTGTCTTCATTTACAACTTACTGGGTAACCAAGGGTATTTATGACCGATCGCTGGAAATTAAGCCATTCGCTGATTATCACAGTTTGGCGTAAGTTTTTGTTTTCCGGAAATTCTGGATGTGTTCAGTTGTTTTTCTGACATACGATAAAGCTGGTCCATTGGTAAATTTTACCCGCAACAAATGAATGATTACACAAGCACTGCACGAAAACCACGTATGTCTACACAGCGCGAGTGCCAGGAGAAGCTGGTTAGCGTGTGGCAGTTTCCCACGAACAGGATTTATAGCAAGTCCCCGCAGTGATTGTCCGAGCGGACTTGGCAATATAATAATCACAAAAGCAGCTAATTTCATTGTTTTTTGCCTCGCTAAATTTTTTTTTAATAAATGATGCTGATCTGCAGTACCAATGCATCTATTGAAGAGTTATCATTGAAAGAGGAGACTAATGATCCGACTGCTGCTGAATTACGTCTTCCAAAGGATTTGGTTCCGATATGGTATGCTTTTCTTCATTGCTTGCATTTTTCTTGGTGTTTTTTTGACAGTGATGTCAGAAAAACAACTAGCACTATGCATCTGAGAGTCAGTACGGTTATGCATTTATCCTTTAAGCGACTGTGGGCATCGTCTTTTCTGCATGTAGCAGGGGCGTGAACTTTGACATGCATTTTCAACCCAGCAGCTGAAAAGCTAGAGAACTCAAATTCAGGTTTAAAGCACGCCAAAATCCCGTATGCGAGCAAGTGAAATTTTAGTTTGGGATACTGTAGGCACCCAGCTAACTCGGTGATCAGACTGAGCAGGGAGAATTATTTTTTGTGCGGGCGCTTGCTGCACAAGTGCAGGCCAGCAACAATGAAATGAGCTTTTGCTTATATATGTGTTTCGCCTACAGACATATCAAATTTTCATATTGCGGCTATGTCGCCATCCTCCCCTATCAGCAAATAGGCGGGCAAGAAAACTTAAATTTTATGAGAATTGCGAGTCAAAAACAGAAATAGCAGTTTTCACGCACTCTAGCATCTAGCATGAAGATGGAATAGCATATCTCAGACTAAAATAAATGGCAACGCGCACCAGACTAGCCGGTGCGATCATGCGTTTTGTGCAATTCAGCCC